AAAAAAAAAAAAAAAAAAAAAATTTTTACAGAAGAGGCACAGCTTGCCTTCCAGTAATCTATTGCTGTATAATAATCTACTCTAAAACATAGCGACTTAAAACAACAATCATTTCTTTTGCTCACTACTTTGCAAGTTAGGGAGGTCTCATGAGGAAGGCTCATCTTCCCTCTGTGTGGCATCAGATGGGGTAGCTCAGCTGGGGGACTGATGGGTTCAACTTGCAAGATGGCTCACCCTCGTAGCTAATGAGGTAATCCTGGCTGTCAGCAGGCTACTTGGGCTTCCTTGCAGGTTGGTAGCTGAGTTCCAAGAGAGCAAGGTGCAAGTACATGGCATTTTTGTGTTCTGGCCTTAGAAGTCACATAGCATCACTCCTAACATGCTCTTTCAGTTGAGACAGTCCAAGAGATCCACCTTAGTTGAAGGGGAGGGGACAAAGACCCCATCACTCAATAGGAGCAGTGTCAAAGTCGGTCACATTGTGAGAGAGCATATGGGATAAGAGAGATCATTTGAGGCCATCTTTGGAAAATACAGTCTGCCCCACCCAATTGCACTGCTTTTCCTCAGCTTGGCCATTTTCTTCAACTCCCACAAAAGGACTTCCTTTCTTCTTCCCTGCTTTCACCCTTCCTGCCTGCCTTCCTGCATTCCTTTCTGTTTTTCCTCCTTTCCCTTTCTTTTTTTGAGATGTGAATCCTGTATAGCAAGCTTCTGAATAAATGTGTCTTTGAAAAAGAGGATTTGGGCTGGGCACAGTGGCTCACACCTGTAATCCCAGCACTTTGGGAGGCCGAGGCGGGCAGAATCCACATGGTCAGGAGACTGAGACCATCCTGGCCAACATGGTGAAACCTTGTCTCTACTAAAATAGAAAAAAAATTAGCTGGGTGTGGTGGTGCATGTCTGTAGTCCTAGCTACTTGGGAGCTGAGGCAGGGGAATCGCTTTAACCAGGGAGGCAGAGGTTGCAGTGAGCCGAGATTGCACCACTGCACTCCAGCTGGTGACAGAGCGAGACTCTGTCTTAAAAAAA